CCATTTCGAAAAAAAAAATATTTTTTGACACATTTTTATTTTTTCTCTACAAGTTTCTAGTGTGACATTTTCCATTTTTTTTTTGAATATATATAAATACATATGTATGCATTTTATACACATATATATACATAACGTATATATAAATTTTTTTATTTTTTTTTTTTTCTTCAATCCCATTTTTTTTCTCCCCCATTTATTTTATTTTATTTTTCTATTTATTTTCTTTTTTCTCATTAAATTTGTCCTAAGGACATTTTTCGTATGTAAATGTCTTATTATGAGTTGCTGGTATGTATTGTACAAAATTAACATTGTCAGCACAATAAGGACTGCCTAACCTTGTACTTAGCATATGGAGTGACAGGATATGTAGCATATGTGGCCACATAAAACCCCTTTGGAGTAATCTTTACTGATAAATTTTAACGGGTACCGTATTTCGTTTACCGTTTAATTCCTCCCTTTTTGGACAACTTGGACATCGCAGTGACTTTTGATTGCTGTCATGTTTTGGTTTTCTACAGCTAAGGGTTAATCCCAAACTATGGAATATTTTATAGAAATTACATTACTCCAGAGAGGCAAGTACAATTATCCTGTAAGTTGTTGTGTAATTTACCAGTTCTTTTCACGTTTAGTTGTGGTTTTAGTTTTGGACAGACATTATAATTATACCAAATGTAGTCACGTTAGTTCTAAATGTATCTGTGGGTGCAACTGCAATTGATCTGGAAATTGGTTTAATATTTTTATATTAATCTATAATATATTAATTTTAATCTTAATTAATACAATTTTATAATATATTTTTAATTAATTATTTTAATACATTAATATGTTTTAATATATATCTATTTACTTTATAATATTAAAACTACTCCAACCTTACTTTGTAAAAAAATATATTAACCGAATGCTTGACTAACGTCGTGCCATTGCAATGCATTACTCGACATGCATTTTGTCGTTGCTGAGTTGCACTTTTAATACGTTACTCGCTTATATATACCGAGCACGTTACTCGAACTCATGAACAACCCAATTATACAGTAAATTAATCTGAAAAGCAGATAACATGTTGGGATTACAAGACGTATGCATGGGTAGGGTAGTGGATGGGTGGGGTCAGAGTTAAGGGGATAATTGAAATTAACCACTTTAATACTACATGTTAATATTTTTTTTTTAAATAGCAGCATAGTCTGCCATTTGTTGTTCCATAACTTATATAGCGACGGCATAACACCATCTCGATGGTAAAACCTTTCCATTAATAAAGATCTTTCCCTAAGCTTTTGACATACATTTCACAAAATCGAAAACTATCAGAACTCAGAACCAATTAAGTGCAAATGGTATAGCCAGAATTATGCCATTAATACTGGCGGTGTTTTTGTAATATTTAAAATTAATTATAAAAAGATTTAACAGTAAACTGTATATATTTATCCCCTAATCACTTGCCTAAAATACATCCAAGTATTACAGTACTTGCGATCTCTAATATTTTAAGGATATTTATGTAAACATCTATAATTTTCTAGATAATCGCTACAGAGGAAGATGAGCATATCTATTCCCTAATCACTTTATCTCGGATATGTCAATGCCTAGGGCATATTCCAATACTACAGTACTTAAGTTCTCTAACGCTTTGAGAAATTTTAAGCTAACACATATTATTTTCTGTATAACCCTTACAGATGGATGGGATCATATCTATCCCCTTATAACTTCCTTCTGTATATGCCAATGCCAAAGATGCATCCTAATACTGCATTACTTAAGTTCTCCAACGCCCTTAATGTCATTTAACTCTCTCACAGTATGTGAAGTTGGGTTATTTTCATCTTTCTTGAAACATATTATCTTACATATATTTCAGTTCCATATATTTTGACCTGAAAAATTGTTAAGAAGGCACACAAGGTATTTAAGATTTTAAATCTTACGTCTTTTATTCTCTTTTTCGCAATTTTTTTATTTAACTTATCTCTGAGGTAGAATATTCTCCCAACCATATATCAAAAGTCCTACATTAAACATAATTAATCATGTGTGCGGATTAGTTTAAATCAATATTAACCGAAGTGTGGGGTGTTGAAACACGGTCTTTATTAGTTCCTTAAAATGGTGTCACTTTTCAGGGCTTACCATATATCTTGTTCTTCATAGCACCTCAAACTTCCATTTTTCGGTTGGGTTATTCTTGTCAACAAAATCCATTCTCATTTTCTTAAATGCCGCTGTGATATAAAAGTCGTATATCAATAAGGGGTTTTCTTTGACATTATGTATCTTCAAGCCCTATGCTCCACTAGGAGAAAAGAACAGTATTAAGTAAGTAATTTATCTTCAATATCTGAAGGAAATAAATACCTCTTTATGTTTTAGACGTCTTTATGTTTTAGAACATAAAACCTTTTTTGTGTAATTAGGTAAGACAATACTAATTATAAACTGGAAAAAATATATAAATTATATTGTAAAGCAATTATAACACGAAATAGGAAAAATATAGATAAAGAGGTCTTCAGTAAACTGTTTTATCACCAGCGGTGACGTCACATGACGTCTATTTTCAAGAACTTTATATATCAACTTTTTGTCATAAAATTTATTTAATTTAAAGATACTTTAATTTTTTTCATAATTTTATTTATTTATAATAAACCATTTGAAACATTTTTTTACATTTATTTCGTCTATAATTTAACATGAAATTAATTCTCATAACAATCCTTGCCTTCAGTCATTTGCAGTTATCGTTTTTATTATACAAAGAATTCAGACGTTTTTCCTTTTAAAATGAAATATTTCCTTAAGGATATTTGCTTTAAAAAGTATGTAATCACATCTCGTTGATGTACTCAAACGTCAATATGTAACATGATATATTTATTTAAATTTCGTTATTTTTTATTGTCTAAGCCTTTGACTTAAAAAGCATATCTTTTATTCCTAAAGGCAAATAAGAATTTCTTTTATTTACAAATAAAAAATTTCATCTCAGGTCATATGTGGAAGCACAACATTTTGATGAGATATTTAAATAAGAAATGGATTACTTCAGTCATTACGGCACTATGTTCCACCTAGAAATAAAAGGATTAAATATATATTCAAGTCATAGAGCAGATCGAGAAGAATCTTCAAATTTAAATAAAATTGACGGGATATTTTTTGTGGTCTTGATTTTTCTAGTAACTTCCATTTAGACGATTGAATATAGTAGCCAATGTCATAATCGTTAATGCACATTTTAATCTCCAGTTGGAATACGTTTAAGCAAGTCTATATCATCAGAGATACGACAATATTTTTGTTAAATGTTTCATAGTTTCGGAAGAAAAATGTGTTACCACTCCTTTCATTATTTCAAACGAACGTTGAGATCGCTTCACATGAACTCTATAGTAATTCTTTCACGCTAACAACGCCTCTAATGTCGATTACTTTATTGGTAAGCACAGCTCTTCAACTCTTCATCATTGGTAAATAAGTAAGGATTCCTAGACCATGGATCAATTAAACGTGTTCTCGACCTTTTTGAAGGAGCCTTTGTCTTATAATTCATTACCTATGTTGACTATTGTGTAACAAACAATATCTTAGCAAAATTATGGAATCATATGGTTGTAATATGAACTGTGCCCATATGGAATGGATTACATAGGCAATACCAAATTAACTAGCTGATTGTTACTGCATACAGGCAAAGCAAAAAAAGATAGTGCTACAGACATGAACCAACGTCCAATCAGTGTCCAAATAGACATTACTGAATGATTTGTATTGAACCTACTCATTATCCATAAAATGTTCCACTCATTTAAAATTAGTTAAGATCTTAAACAATATATATGGAACGTGATACTTGTTAGAACATATCTATCTATATTCAAACTTAAACTGATTAATTAAATTTTTTTACTATTTTATTCCAATTTGTACCACAAACTCGTACCACGTATAAAATTGTAGTAGTTTTTATCAGCTATTTAAGCTATATAACAATGCAAGTTTAGAGAAGGACTGATAATTGGACTGGTGCTATGACTTTACATCAGGTTATTATAACCAGAATTTATATTAAATTCAGTTCGCTTAATGTACGCCACATATCCTTTAAGTACGATGTGCTTATATAGAAATCAAAATATAATTGAGTGAGAATAATAAAAAAATAAGCATTATAATGCTATATATAGAAAATATAGTGCTTTTACTTCGCCCAATGTTCCTATTACATTTGTTGACGAATGAGTGTGTACTTTATCATGGTGAGAGGAAGTGTTGGAACGATGGCATTATTTGGGGTCTCACCATCATTTCATCACTTTTTCTTGCATAATATTATTATTTTATTATTTTATTGAAATATGTGAAAAGGCTGATATATTCTTTTCAAAAAAGAAAAACCATATCTCTTTTAATTCGTAGTATATATGTTGTTTTCTTTTTTTCTTGCTGGGGCGTGTTCAACATAGCGACGTCGCACCAAGTATGATGTGTAATACCCGCTTAATGCACAATTCGAATGCACCCATTGTGTTAACTGTGACGAATTAAGTATATTGACATCATTTTCAATACTTCATTCCCATTCTTATAAATATTATAGTCGTATACAAGAAACAGCTGTGACAATCACATTGCAGCTGTTCAAATAAAGTCAGTTACAACCCTGGATTTTAAACAAAATGTTCAAAAGTTCTAAGTTTTATTATCAACGACTTTCGATGTTATACACAGTAAATATATCTAATATCGAAAGCCTCTGTAATTTTGAATATAATTATCTTTACCACGTCTTATTATTAATCAATTTTCATTGATAAATAATAAAATAACGCTCAAGCAAAATGGGATGAATTTCGTTTAATGGGTAATATTCAGTGATCGTGTCAATCAATTTACACTAGATTTTTAAATATTATATATTTAGTAAATAGTTATCAATTTTATAATAAAAAAATTTATTTATTTTCTTTCAGTTGGCCGTTGTGTCATTCAATCTGAAACCAATTCAAAATTGAACTTTTGCTAAATATAAAATGGAGTTACCTTCGATGGTACAGCGCTCCGGCGATACATTAATTGTACGTAGCGTTGTCAGTGGTAATCAATTGTATATGGAACAAGGGGTTAGTTCTAGAAATAACAACAAAACCAACACAACAGATACTAACGCGTCCTCAGCGACTAACAGTCAAACACAAAATGACAGCGGCGTTATTAGCATGGGAGATGCTTTTGCCAGTATAACATCACCAACGACGATGTCAACCCTAGAGCAACGTCTGGAACGTTTATGTGCTGTAACTGCACAACAACAGCAACAAATGCTGCAACAGCAGCAGCAACAACAACACCAACAGCACCAGCAACAGTTACAAACAGCAGTTGCAGTTGCTGCAGCTGTTGAGCAGCAACACGCACTTGAGCTAAAAGATGAAGGCTTGCCACAGTGCAAAATAAAACGCAATTACAGTTGTAGTCATTGCAATTACTTCACACAAAATCCACGTTGTCACCTGACACATTTACGTGATGTACACGGTGAAAAGATTGTCATCAACAAATGCAAGCTCTGCCTCTATGCATCACGTCATTACCAAAAGCTCGTACGCCACATGAAAATGGTGCACGGCTGCACAGATGGCATAACTAGCGCGCATGGACAGGCGCGTGGTAAGCGCGGCATGAACAAAGAGGCCCGCAAACGTAAATTAGAACAAAGTGTCAATAACGCAGTAGCAGCTGGCAGTGCCATTAAAGAGATGTCAACACTGGAACAGGTAAGTTTATTTGCAAATGATATGCCTCACCTTTGTTGATGTAAAATTCTTTTAGGTTCAGCGAGAATTAGAGAAACAAGAACAAAAATTACGCGACATACAAGCTTTTAATAAGAAACAGGAAGAACAAATGAAACATCAGCAGCAATTGGCCAACAACGCAGCCGAGGCGATATTTGCCGCCGCCTACGAACACCAATTGAAGGCACAGCGTGAACGTGAATTGGATGCGCAGCAAGGACGTGCTGGTTACGAAATCGATCGACGTCAAACACCAACAAATCTTAACAATAACAATACAAATGCCGTCTTCCAAATTCCGCCCATACAACAAACATCAAATATGACCAATTTAAGCCACGAACTCACACCGTCACCCGCTAGTTCCGCATCTCCAACAGCAGCTGTCGCAGCTGCCGGATCTCCAGCTTCCATATCACTGACTTATGTCGAGGAACCAGTACAGAATCGTTTGCTGAAATGCAGTGTCTGTGAGTTTACAACACTCTATCGCGCACAACTGCTCGAGCACGAACTGGAAGAACATTGCAAAACCAAATTTTTCCGTTGCGAAAAATGCTCCTACGTTACGCACATCAAGGCACGCTTCAGTAAGCATGTTAAGTACCACTCCATGCCAATGATTAAATGTGTAACATGTGATTTTCGTACTCCTTACAAATGGAATTTAGATCGTCATATGAAAAATCACGGTGGAGCAGGTCCATTCAAGTGTGCTGCTTGTGATTTCACCGCGGATATCAAACAATCGTTAACAGTACACGAGATGAATCATCATGTGCCACCAGTTGGACATGCTACTGGTATTGCATTGGGTCGGCGTCGTAATAAGGTGGGTGGCACAGACTTAAGTGATGATGACTCCGCTGAATTACTAGAAGATCAGTACAACAATAACAATTTAGATGATTTCGATGAGGCTTTAGCCGCCGGCGTTGAGACTTTTGCTAAAAAATGTAAATACGATGAAGATGAACCAACCGATCTATCGCAGAAAGGTGGCTCCTCCGACACATCCTCAGTACACAATCAGACTGTCACTGTTTTGGCGCCTAAAACTAAAAAACCAATACCGAATCTCATTCCAATACCGAAAATGGGTAATAAGTAAGTAAAAAAAAATTTAACAAATATTTTCTATTTTTCTATAGAATTTTTGACTTAGTATCGACAAAGTGAAAATTTTTTCTCGCTGGCTAAAAAGACTTCTTTCTGAATATGTCCCGTTCTATTCCTTTCATAAAGTTCATATTCAGAAGAAAATACGCTTTGCTATTATTTCGAGCGAGCAAAATGTTCGCTTGGTGAATACAGGGATTACTTTATAATATAATAAGTGTATAAAAAATAATTATTTTATTTTACAGCAAAGTCAACTTGTTAATTTATAAAAATAATCAACTATTCATACATTTTTGTTTTTAAATTTTTATATTACAAAAACTTTTAAATCAAAAAATAGTTTTTATTAAACAAAAAAAAATTTAAATTACAACCAATTTTTTTCCCACAGTGCATTGAATCTCTCAAAACCTTTACAAACGCGTAGTTCACTGACAGAAATCGCGTCCATGTTTTTTAATCCAAAACAATTAACTGAGATTTTACAATCCGAAGCTGCACAATTATCACCGACAACAACAGTTACCTCCACTTCCAGTCAAAACTCACGTACCTTAGTAAATAAAAAGTCTATGGTTGGTGGTAGCTTCTTTGATAAACTTAAGTCATCAGCCTTAACCAGTGGCGGTCCAAATGAGAATCTCATCTGCCCTTGTGGACACTTAGCTAAATGTCTATCCGAATCTATTATACATCGTAAAACCTGCAATTTGGCTGCTATTGAAGAAGATGATATGGATATGATCGAAGAACACGACGATGCCGATGATCGCTTGAAGATCGATATTGGCGATGACGATGACAAGCAATCACATTCCGCACTTAATTTAAGTGTTACCGGCTCAACACGCTGTAAACATTGTCGTCATCGCTGTAAATCTTCAGTGGATCTCTTCAATCATCTAAAGCAATGCACCGAAGCTGGACGTTGCGGTAATGAGTCATACGATTCCATGTCTGGTGAGAGTAGCGCTGGACGTGGTGGTGGCACCGATTCTGCTGGCGAACATCCAATGGAAAATCGTGTTTTTGTTTGGAATAAAATCCCCAGAAGTGGTCAGAGCAATGATGATAATAACTTTGGAGCAGATACACAACTAACAAATGCAGGTGGTATAAAAAATGCTTCAAATGTGCCTAGTGCTAGCATGGCTAACAGTGAGGAAAATAGTTATTACGGTGTCGAAACAGCACCAGGTTATGGTGAGGTAAGCAAATCCAGCAAAGTAGTTGTTAATATATGTGATATCTGATATGGTATAATAATTAAACTTAACCTAATTAAAATAATTATTTTAGAGTTATTAAAAACTTGACAAGACAATAGTTGGCACTAGTTTATTGCATGTTATTCAAGTAGAAAAATGTATAAAATGAAATTTGAAACTTTCACTCTCTGCAGGTAACAAAAAAGATGACACCTGAGGAAGAAGCAGCCAACTCTTCACTTAAAAAGGTTTACAAATGTCCACATTGCTCATTCTGGGCATCAACTGCATCACGCTTTCACGTACACATCGTTGGTCATCTCAACAAGAAACCATTTGAATGTTCACTCTGCTCATATCGTTCAAATTGGCGCTGGGATATAACCAAACATATACGTCTAAAGACCATACGTGATCCATCGCACAAGAATGCGCGCGTACTAATGAATGATGAAACCGGACGTCGTAATTACACCAAATATAATAAATACATAACTCTTATGAAAGTTACCGAAGAAGATGGTGATCCCAAATTAATGAAATCTGGTGAAATGACACCAAATCAAGTAGCTTCACTAGCTTTCCTAAATGGTATGCCAGCTAATGCACAACTTAATGGCATGAAAGAGGACATCACGTTGGAACCTATCGGTATTAAAGCTGCTAGCACAGCAACAACCTCGGCCACAACAGCCGATGGCGGAGAAAATCAATTGTCAGATAATTATATTAGCATACCATACTTAGCTATGATGAATGCCGCTATAGCACAACAACAACACCAAAAAGATCAACAGGAACTACACAATGCCACACTGATCACACCATCTGTGACTATATCGGCGATTAAACGCACACCCACCCCAGCTTTAACATTGATCAAACCCAGCGATGATGTGATCGTTGATGTTAAAATCGAAGGCAACGAGAAGAAAACATATTACAAATGTCGTAAATGCACTTTCAGGTAAAAATAAAAAGACTTTTAGCAATAATTGTTTATATATATATATGTATATATCTATAGCTGATACCAGGATTCGAACTATTCTTTTTCTTGTCATATCTCATATTGCCTTTGTGAAAATACATCTATTTAATATTTTTATTCCAATATAACTTACAGACACTCTAATCGCGATGCGGTTTTGGCGCACGTAAGAGTTCATTATCAGGATCCTAATTATCCTATTGTAACTGCAACCGCAAATCCTGGACCAAAGTCAACAGCAATGCAGCAACAACAACAGCAGGCAACTTCGCCACTACAAGTTGCTGTCAATCCGAATCTCCTTATGAACAATGTCATTGCTATGTGCCTTTCTCAGCAGCAGCAGCAACAGCGTGGTGGTGGTCAATCGAATAACAATCAGCAGCAAACACAACAGCACCAGCAACATTCCATACTACCGGCAGGTCTTTTACAACAAGCCATTCAATCAAATCCATCACTAAGCGGTCTTGCTTTGGCCTTAGCAGGCAAGGCACCAAACAGCAAGGCCACATCCATTTTAGAGCACGGTGAGCAGAAAGCGAGTCAAAACGAGGCAAGTGCCCAGACCCAGACACAGACCCCAACGCCATCGCCTACTATATCACAGACTTGCTTTGCGTCGTCCTTATCAACGGGTGCGGGTGCTGGTAATAATGTTAGTGGAGCAAGTGGTGTTAGTGTTAGTCTGTGTAATGGCATTGGTAATGGCAATGGCAATAATAGCGATGGCAATTGTATTGACAATGCTATTGTTACTATTGCACCACCATCTCTCCAGCATTTACTGACGACTGCACAACGTAGTAGTGGCGCATTATCATCTATGAATGCTTATCAATTATCATCATCCAATATTGATAGTGGTGCAGGTACTGGTGTTGGTTATTTTATTTCATTAATAGTTCATTAATAATTTATTTTATCATAACAATTATTTGGTAATGGGTAAATCATTAGGTACAAACTCAACTGAAATTGATGCAGCCGGAATATCAGCGAAAGGACTAACCACGGCAGCAGTGAAAAATATTTCAACAGGAAAGAACACAACAAATGCGCAATTGACGGCACAGCATTTATTGCTATCATCATCCTCATCATTATTATCGACAACAACAACAACAATAACAACCATAACAGGAACAAATCAAACAATTGTAACTAGTTTTTCTACTACTAGCACAAGTACTCGTCCAACAGCTACTGTCACTCATACCCCAATACCATCTCCTTCATCTGCTAATGTCTCGTCAAAAGCGACGACAACAAACAATACTAACCAACATCAAAATACAAATCAAAAGAATCAAATAATGCAAAAAATTCTCATTGGTACTTCATCCAAGACACCTAACGGTGTCAACATCATCAACTTGCCGCGTGTGTTGGCAAATGTTGTTGGTATCATTGGTGATGTTTACGGTTTAAGTGGTGGTAGTATTGTCGATTTAAGTAACATTGGTGACGCTAATCTAAATCATAATAATAGTTCTAATTCTAATAACACAACCGATATCGAAGACAACTCCCATGATCATGTGCAATTGCTACATGAGCCAAATGATAATAACTTAAATATCTACGATGCTGATATATCATTGACACCAAATTCGAAAGCAACAACTACTTTGACGTGTCCCTCTCAATTTACCACCGCGTCTGGCACCACAAATTCGACATTATTATTCCCTCTAAAAGTGAGTGGCGATGCTAGTTCTCCACCAAATACCATAAGTTCAGTCGGTTGTCGTAGCGTTGGCACAAGTACTGGTAATGGTCTATCCGGTTTCTCTGCTAAGCGTGCATCTAATACAAATGCCACGTCTATGCCGCCTTCTCTTAATTTACTACTCAAATCCACACCATTGAATAAAAACACTACTCAAAGTGTCACAACTGCAACTATAACAAAACCAACAACAACAATGACCAATTTAACAGTGAAAACCTTTAATCCCTCCTCTTCGTCGACGATTTCTTCTACGTCATCGTCACCAACTGCACTCGGTCTGACATCCAATAACACTCATTTTATTTTGAATCATAATGAAAAAAGCAACATGAATTATATACATAATCATCACACGATATTCGGTAACAACAACAACAACAACAATAGTAATATCAATACAAATAACAGTAATAGTAACAATACCAATAACAATAACAACAACAATAATAATAATAATAATAATGCTAATAATAATTTGTTAATGAATGAACGCGATCGACGTGAACCGTCGCCGTATCGTTGTGGTCACTGTCATCAATTGTCGAATTGGAAGCACGTCATTCAGGTATTTCAATAACTACAACAAAATCCCAAACCCAAAGAATTAACGCCATAAAATAGTTCCTTTGATTTATGTTTATATAGCCTAGCCGTCTGCCTTTTGCCAATTTTCGAGTTAATTTTTCTTATTTTTTCTTATAATTTTTGCACCATTTCTTTTTCGTTTGCCGAAAATTTTTTCACGCAATATTTAATATAAATTTTTTCACTGAATATTTTCTATAATCTAAATTGAGCAGAAGAGTAATAGAGAAAGACAGAGAGAGAGAACCTGAAGTTATGAGCAGATAGATAACAAGAAAGGTCTCATATTTTTCACTTGCATTGTCGATGAATGGTCTATTTCACTTGGTATACCGCAATAATGAAACGCATCTCACACCTTTCGCAATTTGCTTCTTTTCAGCACTTTGTTGCTCTCACTGCGAAAAAGTGCTTCAAATTAGCACTTTCGATGCACATACCTTGCAATGCGTACTTAAAGTTCTGATTTGAAGCACACTTGAAGTGTTCTAAGCACGTCGACAGTGAAGTACTTACTCCCATTGACATGTGATAAGATGTGCTATCCGCAAATCGAGTGTTAAGTCTCATTGCTTTATCGAAACTCTTTAATAGATTTATTAAAGCTGTGTATTAAAATTGAAACAATTTTTTAAAACATTATCATATAGTATTTAATTTTTATATATTTATTTTTATTTTTTATTAATATCAATATTTAATATGGTAAATATTTGTTAATATTTTTGTATTTATTTTTTGTCTATTTCTTAATTTATATATTTTATTTTTCAATATTAATTATTTTATGACTAAACAATTTTAATAAAATGTTTTTTTCAAGCTTATTGGTCAAAATTTTTTTATTGTTGTTAAAAAATATAAATCAAGAAAAAGAAATCACAATTTAATTTTACAATAATTTTAATTTTTAATTTTTTAATTTTTTAATTTTTATTAAATTCCTTAGTGTCCTAATAATGACTTTAGACTAAAGTTAAATTAAATTTTTTATTTTTTATTCTTACCTATTTTACTTTTTTGTTATTTATTTTTCTATATAATTTTTTTTTCTAATTATTCATTTTTTTTCCTTATTGTTTATTTTTACCTATTTTTTTGTTTTCTTTTAAATTTTTATTTTTCTGTATATTTTATATTTATATAATTATTTTTTTTTTATATTATTGATTTTTAACTTTTTTTTTTTTTAATTATTTTTTAAGAAAATAATTCTTATAATTATAACTTATAATTTTTATATATTATGGTTTTATTTATTCATTTTGTTTTTTAACACATTTCTTTTTTGCGTACTATTTATTTTTTTCTTTTTATTTGCGTTTTTTTCTTACTTCTTACTTTTTTTTTTTTCTTTTACTATTTATTTTTTTTTTCTTACTTTTTTGTATTATTTCTTTTCTTTCTTTTTAATATTATTATTTTTTTTTTCTTACTTTTTTGTATTATTTCTTTTCTTTCTTTTTAATATTATTATTTTTTTTTCTCACTTTTTGTATTTTTTTTTTCTTGCTTTTTAATATTATTATAATTTTTCTTACTTTTTTGTATTATTTTTTTTTTCATTTTAATATTATTTTTTTTTCTTATTTTTTTATAGAATTTTTTTTTTATTTTTTTTATAGAATTTTTTTTATATTTTTTTTTATAGAATTTTTTTTTTATTATTTTTTTTCGTAACATATTTTTTTGCTGCTGTTGATGCTATTGTCGTCACAGACATGTTGCCTGTTTATATATAGGGTCATATGTGAACACACGTTTATATCGCAGTTCCACAATTGGAATTGCAAAAGTAACAATTTATTTCTCTCTTTTCCTCTTCAGTATTTATGCCAGTTGAAAGTTTTTACTGCTTCCCGCTCTTTCTGTCTCAATCCCTCTCTCTCTCTCCATTACTTTTATGTTTTTAAGTCATTCGAAGTATATAACTTCTTTCTCATTTCGAAGAATTTAAAAACTTTTACCCAACCATGACCAAAAGTATTAAATATTGCTGAAATGAACCTTAATTAAGTGAATACATAAGTCCAAGATAAATGCACCGAATCCAAAATCGTGCCCTATACGCTGAATGTCGCTAAGCCCAAATCACAAACCAAAATAATTTTTTTTATTATTTTATAAAAATAAAAATAAACAAATTTTAAAATATTTAAGTTTGAACTTTTTAAATATTTAAGGAAATATTTTAAACAGTTTTTATATAGTGAAGTCTCGCTGGTAAATACTAAAAAAATAAAAAATATTTATTTGGAAACGGTTATAGTTTGTACATACATTAAATTGGTGTTTGGCTTTTCATACTTTAAAATTTATATATATTTAAATGAATAAATTTAATTGTTATATATCCTCTCAGATTGGTTCATTTGGGTGTGATTTGTGTTTATGTATTTTTTAAAATGAAACCATTAAACATTTATATTAAATTTTATTTATACCATTTATAAAAATATGTGTACTTATTTTAATTAATTTATTATATATTATATATATACTATATGTTATCGGAATTGATAAGGAATATATCCGTTTGCTTTGCCTGTCCACATATTTTATTTGCATTACTACATTTTTATTAAGAAAAGCATTGATCATTAAAATGGGTCTTGGTAATCTGGCATTTATTTCTTAAGACATTACTAGTTCAAAATAATCCCAAATATGCTGTGCGTCGCTTTTAGTTGTGTGTCTATAAATTTATTTTCTTTATATTTATTTTATTTTGTTTGCTGAAGCATTCAATATTAAGTGTTAATTCCATTAAATTTTAAAAGTTATTTAAGCTATTCTGAAGCAACTTATTTATACGTTTAGCAAGCGTTTAAAATCGCCACAGAATCGCTTCAAAATCGCTTAATGGCTTGTCTATATATTTACAATAAAAATTAAATTTATTTATAAAATTTATATATACATTTTTATTCAATTTCATTCTTATTTTATTTTTCTTATTTTCATATAAACAGCGGCACTGTCGCTTGAAACACGGTGGCGATATATGCATCGAAACCCTTGATCGCAGTCCGAAGAATGAGCAAAACTCAGCGCCTATATACCGTCCACTTACAAATGGCAGTACACTGAATGACACAAATTTTGGACTCACTTTAAAAGCATTGCAAAAACAACAACAAACAAATGTTAATAATAATAATAATAACAACAACAATAATAATAATACTACAAATAATAACAACAACAACTTGAAACTAAACAACAATTCTGTACTTATGAACAACAGCAATGAACATCTACTGTTATCACCACATGCTGGCAATGCTGGAACCGGTGCTACACCAGCCGATATACAAGCAGTGACCGCTTATATTGAAGCTGCCTATAAAGCAGCAGCCGCCACTTCAACTGCAAATAATAATAACAGTAGCAACAACAACAATGATGATCTCTTGCACCTACAACAAAATGATCAAATCGAAATAACACGTCTACCTGCTACAACAAATTCCACAGCTACAAACGCTGCAGCAGCAGCAAATTTCACACAATTCTTGGAGCACAACAATTCTATCGCTGGCACCACAAATGCACAACAGAACTCGAAATGCAAACAACAAAAATGTCCTCTCTGTCCTTATATATCTGAGAGCAAATCACAGATGAATTATCACATTTCGCTGCACAAACCAACACAACATGAGTGCCGCCTCTGCACCTTTGTCTGCGCAAAGAAGCAACATCTCAGCAATCATATGCGCAATATTCATCACCAACAGCTTAACAGCGCCAACAACAGCAGCAACAGTATTGGCGTGGCTGCGACAAATACCGCCGGACTCAACTTGGACTTCAGTGTTGCTTTGCAATTGGCCGCTGCAGCTCGTGCACAACAGGTAGGAATAGTATTAAGAAAGTGAAAATCCCTATAAAAGTATTAGGGTTGACGAAGCGGCTAGGTTGACATCCCGAGTTAACAAATCTTATCACATAACAAGAAATGAAAAATAGAAAAATCAGATCTTTTCGGGCTAAAGCCACAACTATAACCTAAAGATACTACAGATTGTAACTGTTTGGTGGCTGACATTAGAAGATTCATTCTTTTATAATATATGCTTCCTAACAGTAACATTATAATTAGATTTGATATAATTCAATTATATATAGGTCATGTAAGGTACTTTAATCTTTTAAGTTGTTACACATATTTATTGCTTTTATCTCTCTTGTAACCTTCTTACAGAAGAGACTAATAAGAGACTATAAGAGGGTCTTATACCCATTTCACAACAAGCGAGTTAATATTTATCTTAAGGTGTTACTTGTTATTGTTTTCAAACTCTCTTATAATCTTCTCACGCAAAGACTAGGTGAACTCTTCTTCTTCACTTAAAAGCTTTCGTTTTCCTTCTTTGTAATCATACGGATTATATGCAATATGTCTTGTTACTGATATGTTATATATATTATCATATAGCAATCTATATATCTTTTTGCGTCAGTTGTGTCAGAGATTAAAAGCACAACTACAATAACAACAATATAAATTTATATATATATATTCTCAAAGGTAGATAGGTAGATAGATAGATTGCTTCAGAAACATATGCCTACTTTATGCTACGTGAATCAGCGTTCATTAACTGTTTAACTATATATATATAAATATATATATAGATTACTTCAGAAACACATGCCTACTTTGGGCTACGTGAGTCAGCGTTCATTAACTATTTAAATATCTAAAGTTGTTATTGTAGTTGTGGTTTTAATCTCTGACGCAACTGACGCAAGAAGGCAAGAAGAAGCCTTTTATATTTTTATTCAAACATTTTTTCTAGAGTTTTTTTGATGATATGTTTATTCCTGATCCAAGAGATATCTGTTTCATTTTAATGAACTTATTTTCTTTGAGAATTTTGCAAAGCTTCCGATATCAGTTTCTGACAATTCATCGGGGTCTTCAAAAAAGAATTGTAGACCTACTCCTTGCCGAATCTAAAGTTATGCATTATAGGCGAGAGTTTGCTAATTCTTCCTCTTAAGAAGGATGGTAGGAAACATCAATTAGAACTTCAAGTCTATGTGGATTTCTTTTGATAATAAGCGATTACAGGGGGTATAATGTTGCCGATGTCAATTCTATTTAAGTAAATGAGTATAAATGAACCTTACACAATGGTAGTCTTAATCTTTGTTGTTGTTGTTATCCTACAGTGTTATATTGTTAATCTAACGAATCTATAATAATAATAATTATATTAAAAAATTATAGGAGAATATTAATCGTAGATCTTGAAGTAGATCCATTTCCATTTATAGATTTTGGTACTATAAAGTATATATTAATAAGTTCAGTATTGAAATTATTATTTATTATTAGCATTGCCTAATGAAGTTAATCACGTGTTATTCTGTTTATTACTAAAATCTATAAACAGATATGTCTATTATATATATATTATAGCAAGGTTTTTTTTTAATAAGCTTCTTGACTCATATTGATGCACCTGTTTTCTTTGTAATATAGTATATAACGATAATGCACATATGTTTTGTTTTTTGCTTATATAATTCCAATGGAGTTAATTGTGAAATGCATTTAATAAAAATATTTTCCATATATATAAACATTTTCAATTTTTTTAATCGATCTTATAAGGCTATTGCATCCCATACACAAACAGACAAACAACTATATATTATTTTTAACAGCTAAAGCTTTAATGAAATCATCTATCCGATCTTATAAAAATTTCTGTAATATAACAGATTTCATACCTTAGTATGATTCCTAAGTCTAATTATATCAATTATATTGTAATGTCGAACTCACTTCAAAGTCTAATTTCTTCTTCCGATATTTATAGCCCATTTAAATATCTTTTTCGTGTCTGGCGATCGCATTCTCTTCCTTACAAAACTTACAAGTTCCATTATAGCAAATTTCTAGTTTTGTAATTTTATCTCTGCTTGAGATTGAATATGAATGTGAAGTGGAATAGCTACAAGTTCTAAGAACACCTCAATATATGCCAATGAACATATCCCTATACCTTCCATAATACTTACACACACTAGTCTTTACGTACATTTATTGTTTTAAAAATTTTTCTACTAATTTTAGAATTATATTTACAGTCAATGGGTTCAAGATCCTCACCTATTCAAGGTTCTTTACGACTCGAATATGTTACTCAAATTTATTACGATCATACCGTGGAAGTTTTTTTTTATACTCTGTGTTTATTTGCTAGCTAATCACACAATGAAGTTTACACTGCCACTCCCTTTAAAAATTTTAGAACTATACCTATATATATAGTTCTTGGCATTGTTGTGTCAATCTCTACAGGTGCAATCTGTTTGATCATGAATATGGCCAACTGACTTTGGACGTACTATCATACTTCAAGTAATGGCTTTTCAATTTTTAAGTGTTATTAATCAAAAATGTTTAGCATATCTTGAAAATATATTGTCATTTACCAAACCGATCAAATGAAATATTAAATATTGTTTTTAAATTCTCTTATTAAATTTAATCACTCAAGTATCCAGTCAGCGCTGAACTAAGGTCATATATATATTCATTAGAACTACCAAATAAGCTTAGCTCCATATCTATGTTAAGAAACCACTCTTATGCTCATTAGACCAAGTATTGCTCGCTGCTACTAAGAGCTTTCTCTTACTAGCAGGACCTTTTAGGCTGCTACAATAACAACTACCAAAGTCTATTTGTTGGGAATACTTGCTCTTCACAGTGCACTATATACTTACTTTAAACATCCCAGTAAGTTGTAAAAAAAAGCGTAAGGAAACTAAGAATAGCCAACATATAAGAATAAATTTATAGTTCTAGAAAAATCCTTTACAAAAAGTTCTTCAATGTCCTAAACTAATCATATGGTCTAAGTAATCCAAGTAGATAACTAAATACTAAGTGCTTTCTTTATAAATGGCAAACAATTATTATTGTTTATTATTATTTATTGCCTTTTCTTCTTCAAAATACGACAATAAACAAATCATAATATTGCCAATATTTATTGTATATACCACAGCCATGCATTTCATATAAATTGTCACATATGCTGAACATACCATGGTGTAGAGTGTTTTATGTCTAAATATCGTTACGATTTCTTATAACATCGGCTTAGAATACTCTGTTAACGAAAGTCAGTTTGCAATCGACCGTCAACAATGTTGGATCCCTTAGTAAATGATCGAAATAAAATATAAATTTATTATTTATTTCTTACTCTTATACATACTTACTTACTTATACTTACTTCTATTTTCTATTGCAGGAAACATCACCGATGAAAACACCACTTGCCATGGATTTAACGGCTCTGAAGAGTACGTTAGGTTCAACGCACAGCAAGCAAAAGCTGGGTGCCCCGCACTCACCGGAATTTCATTTCACCATTTCTTATTGCTCCAAATGTCCAGCTCGTTTTGCCCAAAAGCATGCGGATACTCGCAATGCCAAGTCAGATATTATGGAGCATCTTAAATCGCACAATAATAGCGATTCTAGCATGTATAAATGTGAATTTTGTGACTTCCATGCTGCGCATGAAACTCTCATACAAACGCATCGTTTCGTACATACTAAACATTATTTGGAAAAATTCAATGAAATCTACGCAAACTGCATCGAAGATTCCGAACATAAAGCACCAAAACTCTTGGCCATTGCCCTGACTAAGCATGCAGCACAGGGAATGGAAACAATTTTAGTCGTGGACAATGAGTACAGTTTGCAAATAAAGAAACAACATGAACTTAAGCAACAACAAAATTCGAATATATCTTCATCCACAAATGCTAATTTTGATACTTCTAACTCATTGCTTAAGAAGCAATTGGAGTCTGGTACTATACCACCACAACAAGTCGGCGCCACTATGCACAGCTCACCATCACCCAAAGCTAACGATGGTGATGAGCCGTCATTCAATGTCAATGCCAATGCCAATGCCAATGCCAATATCATGAACAATGACCTAGTAACTGGCGGCACTAGCACTTTTGATTGTTTGGGTGGTGATGGCAGCGATAATAATTCACATGTCGCGACTTCTCCACCACCAGTTGAGAAGTGTCTACATTGTCCATATGAAACCACTAATGTGTCCTATTACAAATTGCATATACAACATCACATCTGTATTTCGAATCGTCGTGAAGCTTACGTCTGCGATCATTGCGACTACACTGACGCTCAATTGAAAAATATAGAGGAACATACACGTCTACATTTCAATGCTATGGAGAAACTCAAGAGCGTTGCATTCTTTACTTGCTACAAAAATTTGGAATTGAGCGTTGAAGTGGAAGATAAAGCCGCTGAGGAGGATGCAGTTGAGCAACCACATTATGAGCCCGACAATGAGCAGATGCCGCTTCCAGGTGAATCAGCTACATTCGAAAAACCAATGAATATAAAACAAGAACAAAATAATAATAGCGAAGATTTTGTTTGTAATGAGAATAATGCCTACAAACGTCAACATCAACAAATATTCGCTGCCGATGAAGAACAACAATTACAGCAGGACTATTATGATGGAAATGACGGCCCAGCCGTCACTCAACAACCTGCAACCAAAAAACTCTGCAAAAAAATTATTCTCTACAAAAATGATGGTGGACTCAGTATTAAGAATGACCCCACCAACACAGATAGCACTGAAGTGGAGCAAAATATAAGCTCTCGCCTTAGACGTAATGCAAGTCGCAGTGTTTATCCTGCCAACAGTGAACAACAAACAACCACTGAAGAACCACAGGAACAATTAAGCCAACAAAAACCTATTATTGTCGATGCCAAAACTGGTCAAATAATTAGCAGAAACTAAGCATAATCTTTAATATTAATACTATATATATACGTCATATGTTTATATCTACATTCATACATATATACGTAAATGTATAAGATATGTAAGTATGTATATAAATATACATATATATGTATATATGTATGTATATAAATACAGGGATAGATTTAAATATATATTTATAAATATGTCCATAAATATATATCTAAATTTATACCTATATCTTTATATTATAAATATAATACATAAACATATAATAAAACATATTTAATTGTTTTTGTTGTAATAATTTTATATTATACTATATGAGTAAATTTATATTAATTAATAATTCCATTTGAAGCATTTTCATTTTATCACGGTCCTATTGAACCCAAACCCAAACGTCCTTCATTTGGGTGCTTCCACTTCAAATGGAACTAATTTTATTTAATAATTGAATCAATTGCACAATATTGTGAAATACAATTAGTATAAATATATTACTAATTTTTAATGATGGAGTACACATATTTATATATATGCAGATCGTTGTAGATGTATATATACCATATACATATATAAATGACTAAACACGCAGAATTTTATTACCAACCTTTCGTAAACAATTTCGAGAACAATTATAAATAACTTCTTCTTAATAGTAACAGTAGAAACATATTAGAATGTATGTAAGAGTCAATTTGTTTAAATCTTTATATTTTTCCTAAAACAACAACTATATAAATATACATATATAAATAATATTATTTATATCTGATTTCTATACACTAAACATTTACATACTTATATATGTATATTTATATTTACAATTAAATAAATATATATACAAATATATTTGTACTTAAAAATGCTTACACACAAACAGATGCTTAGACACAGAAATTAAATGATTATGACAACACAATATAAAGTGAATTTATATATATATATATATATATATATATATATTAGAATTAGCATATTCTATCAATATACATACATAATATATTTTCATACACAATTTACTATACATGATATAACATTCTATTTACTAAATAATTTACTATATAGAATATGAAATAAATTTTCTAACTACAGATTCGTTGTAATTAAATTAGATATATCTTTATATTTAAATATATTCAACTGTTAATGATTTATGACATATCTCACACAATTTTATGATACACAGATAACATTTCTATACGAATATAATATAATTTTATAAATATAAATGTATATCCATATATTTGTTATACGTTATGGTATTAAATTGTTTTTATATAAACATACAATTCTATATACATAAATATATAGAAATATAAAAGTATTATACTTTTATATATTGCGATTATATACCATTATTATACACATTACTACTGTATACTGTTATTAATATATTGTACTATATATTATTATAAATATATATTATTTAATACTATTAATAATATATACCATGAAATGTTATAAATAATAATGTATATTATCAAATAATATTAATAATATATACTATTAAATATTATTAATAATATATATTATTAAATATTATTAATAATATATATTATTATTAAAATATACTATTATATATTATCATTAATATATGCTATAATATATTTTTATTATCCTATACTATTGCATATTATTAATATGTATTATTATATATTACTAATATATAATAAAACAATATTTATAATATAAAAATAATTATAATAGAATAAAAAAACAATAATTATAATGTATAATAATAATTATAATATATAATAATGTAATAACAAAACATGATTATTATAATTATATTATATATTATTATAATTATTTTAAAATTATATTATAATTATTATTATAATAATTATATTACATATTATTATAATTATATTATATACTGATAATTATATAATATATTTTGATAATTATGTTATATATTATTATAATTATATTATATATTATTATATTTATATTATATATTATTATAATTATATAATATATTTTTATGATTATGTTATACATTATAATTTTTTTATATATGTTCTAATTGCATTATATATTATTTTAGTTATATTATGTATTATCATAAATAAACAATATATTTTTATGATTATATTATATATTATTATAATTATAAAATATATATTTTTTTAATTAAATTACATATTATTATAACTATATAGAATATTATTGCAATTTAATTATGTATTATTATAATTACATTATATGTTATAGTTATATATTATTATAATTACATTATATGTTATAGTTATATATTATTATAATTACATTATATGTTATAGTTATATATTATTATAATTATATTATATATTATTATAACTATATTATACATTATTATAATTATATTTAACAATGGTGTTCGTAATATCTGAAAACCTAGAAAAATGCCACTAATGGTGATATGTTATGCAGGAGCTTAAAAAAGGAGTCATCCCAGGTTCATATGACCGCATAATTGGAGTCGATAGGAAATATGATAACATCAGTAAAAATACGTTAATAATAGTATTCACATGTAGTGATATAATAAAAATGGTGATAATAATATAAATTTATTTATGCAAATAATATAAATAACAATACAATAGTAGTAGTAGTAGTAGTAGTAGTAATGTATGGTAATATAATATAAATCTATATTATTATTTATTTATGAATAATATTATTTGTGTTATTTACGTGGCTAATCAGTACTGTAAAGAATACATTCATATGTTAAATAATTACATATAAGTTTTTTTATTTCGTTAATTTTTATTTAATTATAGGTGCATATATACATACATAGTATTTTCATTGTTATATATTTTAATGCCTATTTATTTATTTTTATTTAACGTTTATGTTTAAATTATGTACACACTATTTTATTTAGTTTTTCATATATATTGTTATATAAATATTTATATATATTTTTTGTATAATTATGTTACACACAAATTATAAATTGAAATAATTTAATATACATACACATTTGAGCATGTTTACATATATTTTAATATGTTCAAATATGTGGATATATATATATATATTTATTTAAAGACAAACATGATTGTTTCGAAATATTTTTCTGCGTATTCAACCATACGTATATATATATGTATATATATATATGCGCCTATATATATACATATATATATATATATATATGGCTTTAAAAATATATTTAATATATAAATATGTGTAAGTGAAATCTATTGATTCAAAACTAAAATATTCAAAATGTAACAATATTTACGCACTATTGTTTAAAGAAAAGAAAGTTAATTTAATTGTAATATATAGTTAATAAGTGGGATTTAAATTTTTGTTTTTTAGTTTTTATGTTGTTAATTAAGTTAATGCTACTATTGTATTTACACTCTTTACCTTTTAAAATGGAAAAGGGATATAATTTAGATTTAAAATAAAATTAATATTATAAATGAATGTATCAATCTAGTTATAAGCTTTATATGCACACACACACACACACCCACATATAAACACAGTGACGGATTTCTATTTTTATAATGCGCCCTAGGCACTTTTATAAAAATTGCCATCATAATTAAGTTACTATTTTTAATAATTTAACAAGGCGCTAATATTATTATTGTTGGCCATTGCTAATATTACTTATAATAAAATTCGTTACTGTGTTAAATTAACATATATACAAATATATATAAATATATAATAAAAACTATTTTTACTTTAATTAATGTTATATTATTTATATATAATAAATAAATTGAGCACTTAAAAAAAGATTATTTATAATTTTTTCTATAAATTTTACTAACCATTTTTACATTTTATATACATTTCAAGCATTTTGCAAAAATACAATTCAATCGAATTTTTACTATATAAAAATAAAATAATTTTATTCTGAAGATATTAAAAAAAAAATATTTTTTTCTTAATATAATTAAAGTTGAATTAAATTAGTAATTTTTTGTTTTGTTTTTTATGGTGCACAGTGCAGCTATTGGTTAATTTTATTATATAGTTTTTTTGTCTTTAAAATTGGCTGTTTATGAAATTTAATTAATTTACTAAACAAAATAAAAATCATATATTATATATAAGGGAGCTGTGATTATGAATTAAATCGATACATAGAAAATACAAACAAAAAATTTAAAAGTAACTACAAAATATTGAAAATAAAATTCATGAAATATATATTAGAAAACCAAATAATTATGTTTAAAAAAAACAAAAAACTTAAAAACATATACGTTTAACAATTTAACAATTCTTATAATAAAAACAAAAATTATATATTACTTTGCTGCACATTTTAGTTTAGTCTCTATTAAAATTACAATGTTATAATTTTTATTTTCATTATTATAACATAATTATATTGCATATTATTAATATTCGAACTTTTTGTTAGTTTTATTAAGTTTACTTATATTAATATATATATATATATATTATTGTTTAATGTTTTTGTTGTTTTTTTTTCTTTCTCTTTCTATGAAGAAAAAAGAGAGTTTTGAAATCAAAATATTTGAAATAAAATGTTATTATAAAATATTATGTCTTAAGTGAAAAAGGAAATAAAATAAAAAATAAAAATTTATTTTAACAAAAAAAAAAACCACAACTACAAAAATATTTATTTATATTAAAATACATATTTATAAGGCATAAATGTATATATGTATTTTTTGAAATTAAGTAGTTACATAAAGTGTCAAAGGCTTTCAAAATCAGAGATGTTATAATAGTAGATGTCAAAACTCTAATAATCTATTAAAATTTTAAGGATACAATAGAAGAAGAAAATTATAAAAGAAATATAATATATATACTATATGTATATATATATATATAATATATATACTATATGTATATATATATATATAATATATAATGTATAATATATACACTGTATATATAGATAATATATATACTTAATTTTTAGTCAGAATTTAATATATAGTACTGTTAAAATTTATCACATTTTTGAAAACTATCAATATATTTATGTGAATATTTATTTACATATATATACACACATATACAAGTAAAACTGCTCAGTCGATATCTAATGTAAATGTAAGTCAAGTCAAAGTGCTATTCACTA